AAAAAAAATAATGGCATTATTCAAGTAATTTTCCAATTCCAATGTTTATATTTTCTATATGAATATTCTAGGAGATTTTAGAAGATCAATTAACAATATATCTAAAGAAAGAATTTTGTTTTTAATTATTAAAAGTAAAAATATCCAAAGAAAGTTAACACTAAAGAAAAGAAATAGAAAGCAATGTATTAGTTACCTGTCCATACTACTTATTAATGAAACATTCTTTTTTATGGTAATATAAAACATGTTCACTTATGAGTATTAAGTAAGGCTTCATAAAAAATGGAATATCTCATTAATAAGTAAGACTATGTTACCAAAAACTATATAAAATCATAGAATTCCTATGATTGTTTACTTTCTGAGAGGATTTAGCAATTCACAGATATTAGTATTAAGTAATGCATCCTGTGATCATAACAACGGATTATCTCATTAATAATTAGGAGTAACCAGGCTGTGTGACCAATACCTATATAAAATCACATTATATTTTATATCATGATTCTGAATATCAAGGGCATAAACATCAAAATATTGAAAAAAAACCTCTGCTTTGGTGGTTCTCAGAATTAAATTCTACTTACAAATGTGCATTTGTGAATTACTTTATGCAAGTCAGTACATGTCTCTCTTAAGACTTGGCTAACAACAGACTTTAATGGAAAGTAGATGATGATAAAGAAAAACTTTGGTCAAACAATGTCACCAAAGACGATGAGATACTTGTCAAAACATGAGAAAAGCAACAAAGATTTGAATGTTGAGTCAATCTGATTGTTAAATTTGTACATTTGATTTTTAAGTTACTTTGAAGTTTACAATGTTTTATATTGATTATTAGTTTTATTCTTGGACATCAACAATTTTCTGCAAATGACAAAGAGATCAGTAATTATACACTTGTGAACTTCAACATTTTGCTTTTTAAAGAGTACAAAATCAGGACCACAACTTTGCTCTTTTCTTTCTTCAGAAATTTGTTCATGAACAAAACTTGCATAACATTTCAGATGTTAAGCATGAAAACTAGATGGAATAATTAAACAATAAATTCACAAATCAATAAAGACACACATTAAACATTTTGGCAGGTCATTAACTATATATATATATATATATATATATATATATTAACATAAAGAGAAAGAACATATTTATGATCCAGTGTTCTTATTAATTATTTTTATTTTTAAAAAACAGTGCTCAATACAATTCTGCAGAGCATAAATATTATAAATTTACTAATTTAAAAATATGGTTCCATCACTATACAGGAATTACCAGGTTTCAAAAACAGAAAGTAAAAACTTCAAATTTAATTATAAAATTAAATTAAAATCCCTAATACTGTTCCATTTTCAAGCAAATTTTGGAATAACTTATTTTGAAATTTACTGAGTTTTAATATTGCTGATTCTTCTTTGGATCTTATCAAGGACCTAAAGGTAAATAGAAGAGACACAGGACCATATGTGGCAACGATATTCTAAGCATGGATGAATGGTAGACTTATAGATATGTAAGATAGATTCTGGAGAGAAGAAGAGTCTTGCATGACACAGTGAACTGTTTTTTTTTTAGTAACTGACATAGCAATGGATTCAATATAGTCTTTCCACTTCATGTCAGCTGAGATTGTTAGCCCAAGAAGGTGCAATGAGTCATTTTCATGGAGGTTAGCATCAGCCATAATGATAGAAGGCAGAAAGGGTTCTCTCAGATGATTAATGGGGAGAAGTTTATATTTGGAGGCATTATGAACAGACTGAAATAGATATAGAAATGAAAATAGAAAGTGGGTTAACTAAAGAAATATGAAATAAAATAAAACATGTTGACAAATATTCAGTTAAATTTAAACAGTAAAATAAAAGCTTCATTTAGAGTCAGCGATATCATATGACTGACGCATGGACAATGATGAAATAGATCGAAAGAGAACAGCAACAGGTATTTTGCTTTGGCTACTAAAATCCTTCATTGATCTCTTGTAAAAACCTACTCAGACTTGTGCCCTGGAGAAGACACTCCAGTTTTGCCTCACCATGATGATAAAACATGGAAAGCATCAGTCTACAGATGGAAGGATTCTGAAGATCCCTCTGTATGGGGAACTGGCCACTGGCAAGAGAGCACATGGGTGACCTCATCTTCACTTCAAGGATGTATGCAAAAGTGATGTGAGTGTGATGGACATGAATATTGAGAGGAGGGAAGACATCACCAATGATCACTCATGTTGGGGACATAATTTACATTTCTTTAATTTTCTCTGTACTTTTATAGTCCTTTTCTCACTAAAGTCTTCACATTCTCTTTCACACTCAGTAACCCCTTGCATTCTAGTAACAGTATTGCCTTGCTTGGTGTGAAGTGATTAAAAAAAATGATTAACACAGAATTCTGTGCTAAAAATACATTGACATATAAAGAAAATTAGTTAGAAATTAATAATGAAGAATTCTCACATCTTTTAAAAGTTATCATTAAGATCTAATAATCTCAAAAAACTACAAATATTCTATTTAAAGGAACATATTTTACCAAAAGATCTTGCTAAATTTATTTCACTTTCTGTTTATACATAATTATGCACAAAATGTTGTTGCCATTTATAATCTTTTGAAGGCAAAAACTTTGACTTAACAACTGAACAGAATCTTGATATAAACAATATTTTTCTTCTCTAACTGAAGCTGACATTTTTGGAATATATTGCCTGAAGGTGTTTTTAATGTGTAATTTCAAGTTTTGAAAATATCTGCATCTTAAAAAAAATGCCTTATGTAAAAAATAAGGACTCTCCTTCAATATGTATAGCCTTTCTACTTTTACAGTTAAAAGAAATATGCAAATTTTTATTTGCTCCAGGAAATATATCTTCATGCATATGTAAATTTCATCATTCATTGTCTTGATTCAGTAGAAAATATGCAGATTAGACACAGTCATGATAAGCCATTATTATACATGAAATGCTTTAAAACGTAATCCTCTTATAATCTAATATATAGGAAAAACTGATAAAAACTTCTAACCAAACAGTTTTATATACAATGCTTATAGGGGAAATTTAAAACTGACAATGACCATAACAATTACAAGAAGTTATCAGGTAGAATTCTCGTGATGAAAACTCTATAAGTATCTGACACCTCCTGATATCCTCTACCTTTACACAAAAATGGAGTACTGCTGTCAGATATGGACAACAGCTGCCAAGTCTTCACTTTCCAGTGATAGAGCCCAAAAGCATTTCCATGTCTGTGTGAGTAATAAATTATTTTCCACTTGACAACCCCTTTGCTACAGATGAAACATTGGAAATCTTTCACTGCTCTGTTGTTATTTATGAAATCACAAGTCATGATGACTGAGAGTTTGGGAGTATTGGCCTTGTTCAAAAAATGTTAACCATGCCAGATTATGCACACTTTCACATAAAAAGTAACTAAGATTTACTTAGCATATTACAGCATAAACTATAATTTGGATCTGTAGATATTGAAGAAACACAAATGTGCCTGAGCAGGCATCTGCATAAAGGATTGGTTAACCAACCTAGCAGATGGGTGTGCTCAGAAAACAATAGGTGATTTAAATAAATATATAGAATTTTGTATGCATGGTAGCTGTAAGAATATGATGAATAAACAGATTTCAACCTAGATAATAGATGATAAAAATATACAATATATTTATAAATATACAAGGAAAGAAACTGTGTTGTATGTTTGTCAGTAGGGATTAGTAGCAACCAAATAATTCTAGTGCATTCAAAAAATAAAGAATTCTTAAATCTGATTCTTTAAAGAAAATTCTCTAGAACAGATAAAAGTATGTTCAATCCTAAGTCTTTTAGGAACAATCATAGAGAATTTAGTCTGCTCTGGTGCCCTGAGTCTTGGAGAGGAGTGCTTCGTTTAAAAAAAAACAAAAAAAAAAAAACAACATTAAAAGAAGCTTTAAGTAGAATGATCAAATTTCATTTGTACAAAGTCATTGCTAAATGCAAGCAAAAAGTCACCATTTATTTCAAATAATTCCCAAGTTTTGCTAAGAATATTTGTGAACTTTTGCATCAGAAGACTCTGGTCAAAATATAATAGAACTGATTTGATTTGAAAGCTTTTCAGTCTCTCCGTCTCTCTCTGTCACTCTCTCACTATATGTCTCTCTGTCACCCTCTCTCTATATCTCACACATATTTTTCTGTTTATTTGTTTCTTTATCTCTATATGTGTATTATGAGGAAGGCAAATCTCTTTACATGAGTGACACTAAAATAAATGCACAAAAGGTAGAACTTTTACACACACACAGATATAATTATCTCTCTCTTCCTTTCTCTCCCTTTCTTCATAAACATCTTCCTCTCTATCACTCTTTCTCTCATATATATATATATATATATATATATATATAATTAATTTATTATAATTCTGTAGGAATATATATATATATATATATATATATATATATATATTCCTACAGAATTAATGAATTTATTTTAATCCAACATTTTATTTCTTCAAACATTAGTAAAGGGATACTCATATTTGAACACACTGTTTAAAATAAAAAAAAAATAAAAATGGGGCATCTATTTCAAATACGAGTATCTACTATATATATATATATATATATATATATATATATATGCGCACACACACACACACACATACATACATACATACATACATACACACATGCTATCTTTTTCTTATTTGATTTATCCGCATTAAATAAACACAAACAAAAAATGTAATAGAACATTCACAAAATACACATCTATCTACCTATCTATATATCCATCCATCCATCTCAGTCTGTTCAAACCTATCTATTTATCTCAGTCTGTTTAAATATATCTAACTTTTCATCTTTTCCTATCCATCAATCTATCTCAGTCTGCTCATATCTATCTATTTATCTCTCTATGTGTATGTGAGAGCTACAAATAAAAAAAAAATGAAAGTAGTTGTGGAAAATACGTAAATGTAAGAAAACTATAGAGGGACCAAAGAGTGAGATAGGTGGGTAGGTAACTATGATAAAATTTGAATATGAGAAGATACGGGTAAAGAAGAAGCAGTATAGAATATGAGTGAGAGACTGTGAGAGAGAAAGTGAAAGTATATGAAAAGTACAAGAAGAGCAAGGAAAACTAATGAGCGGGGAACCTTAAATGAGAGCAGAAATAGAAAATATAAGAAATGATCAAGAGAGAATTACTGAAGGTGAAGAGAACTTTACAATAACAGAAACTAGAGCAAAGACAAAAAAAAAGAACAGAACAAAATTTGAATGAACCAAAAAATATAAAAATGAAAATGTGCATATTAATTCTAAAGACAATTGTTTCTGTCAGCGCACAGAATTCTCCCATTCTATTTCTATTGTTCTTCACAAAAGAATCTCAATTCCTTGCTTTAAATTTTTTATTGGAAAACAATTGAGCCTGATTTTGTAAAGAGAATTGTTAGATTAATAGTAGCAACCGGTGAGTTGTCCAACACTATGAGTGGGGACTGATGGGCAGCTGTCTTGGACAGAAAGTGGGAAAAGTGACAGGGGTAGTGAGGGTAGGAATGATAGGAAAAATGTGAGCAGAAGGATTGTGATACTGTGACTGCTATACAAAGGCAGTCATGCTGATGGTACTGCCAGTGGTGGTAGCTATTGTGGCAAGAGAAACGGCAACACAGCCGTAACAGGAGATAGAAGGGAGTCAGTCCAATTACTTGGAGCAAGAGAGAGAGAGAGAGATGACTCATGTGCTTAGCTTAGCTTGTAGGCTAAAGTCAGAAGCTACTGAGTAAGAAAGAGAGAGACGAAGATAAGAATGACAAAAATAAAGAAGACAGAGGTGGAAAAGAAAGAAAATGAATTGGAAAATAGAAAAATAAAGAAACTTCTCTTTGTTACAATAAGAGAAAAAAGAGAGGAAAGAGGAACAAATTGACAAAAAATACAGAGAGAAGTAAGATGTCAGAGATTAAAATGAAGAGATAGTGGGAGAGAAAAAAGAAGGGGAATAAGATCTTTATAGGAAGGATGAAAAAGAAAGAAAGAATATCACGACAAAAAGATGTAAACTATTTTCTCCCTATATTCTTTTTTATTTACTGAAGGATATAGTGGGGGAAAATAGTTTAAAGAAGGAATGTAAAGAAAGAGGAGGAGGAGAAAAAAGGTAAAGAAAAGAGAGGACAAAGTAAAGAGAAAATTTGTAGATTGTGAGAGATAAATGGAGAGCAAGGAAATATTAAAGAGAGTAGTTGATAGATACAGAGAGACAAAATGCTGGGTAGGTGAAAGAGAAAAAACACACATACAGATAGAGAGAGAGAGTGGGAAGAGAGAGAAAGGATTAAGAGGAGTTAAGAGAAAACCCAAAATATTTCCATTCTTTTCACTCTTGCACTTGTTAGCAGTGACAATTGGAATATTGATGGTGATGATGATCACCACTAAAGGCAATAGCAACAGAGTTCAGGCGAAACACAGAGACTATCACTGTGAAGAAATCAGCTTCAGTGTGGCTAGCCATGGGACAAACAATGATTATCAGAAAGACACTTATGCTTTGTTTCAAAGGACAATACCTTCTGTTAGTTTATCATTTCATACATCTATCTCAGATGTATTTTTCCAGCTTATGGCTATATCACATTGAAACATTGGTTCCCATATGATCACCAAAATTAAATGATATCAAGTCTGGTCAGTACTGGGTGACTGCTTGGGAATACCACATGCTGTAAGTTTGAAATTGCAGGTGGTGTAACGGATAATAGCTCAAAACTGTTAATCAGAGAGCTGAGTTCCAATTCCAGTTGGATTTGTTATATTCATTTGCATGCAAGTACCCTTGGGAAAATTATGAATCCACCTCTTCTCCCCACAGCTATGGGCTAATTAGTAAGACTTGTATCACTAAACTATTATTATTGCCCTTCTGCCACCAAAAAAAATTCTTACAATCTGAAAATATTTCCTGGCTTTAAATAATCTGCAATGGGTTGATAAACTGTAAAAAATGAATCAATCTTTCTTTTCTAACTGTTTATAATTTGTCCATTTTTCATTTATTTACTAACACTTTTACTTATTTGTTTTCCTACTCTATTTTATCCTTTGTTTTCTATCTTTTTTTCTTCACAAACGTCTTTCAGCCATCTCTTTGCTATTTTCTCTTTCAGCCTTTGCTTCCTCCACTTTCAGCTCTTCTTCACCTCTTCCAACCACACTTTTTTCTCTCACACACCTCTCCCATGTCCAGTTATATTTTTCTCTCTTTGAAATAGCTTATTCTCTTTCTCTTTACTCTCTTCCTCCCTTCTTTCAGCCTCTTTGAGCTATCTTTCCCCATTTCTTGCTCATTTCTTCTTGATTTTTATTATCTTTTGTCAAATCTCCATCTTTATTTTCTCATGCTGAGTTCTACTGTTCCATCTTATTATCTCACTTCTCTTGTCATATATTTCCCTCTTCCTCTTTATGAACAGATCATTCTCTTTCTTTTATGCTTCTCTCTTTTTTCTCTTCATCTTTTCTATCTGACTTTCTTTCATCTTTATCTCTTGTCCTCTCCTTCTTTACTCTGTAACTTCTCTTTATTTCAGACATCTCCTTTTCTCTTTCTCTTTACTCTTCCTCTAAATTCTTTTCTTCTTTCTTTCATGCTTATCTTTTTTTACTTCCACTTCATATCGATCTATCTCACGCTCATCTAATGTTCCTACTTTTCTCCTTTTCCTTAATTATTTTTACGCCCCCTTCTTCTCATTTTTTTCTTTTTTTCATTCTTCTTTACAGAAGTTTTGAAAGAGATTATTTACTCTGCCAATCTATATATCCCAGATTTCTCAAAGCTGAAATATAATCACAGAGGCCTAAATACGTTTGGACAAGTCTTTCACAACTCTAAATCCATTCCAGTCAATGGTATGTTTTTCTAATATCTACAAAATATTAAGAGAATTATATTCTTACAATTTAACAAGAACAGATGTCACCAGTTAATTAGGACACCTGTTTAATTGAGGCAAAACTGGAAATAAAGCCCCATATATATATATATATATATATATATATATTGAAAGGTTGCTGAAGGAAAAGTTTGGGGTCTGACCTACTTCCCAAAATCTGATTAAATTACCAAACATCAGATTTTTGCCTTTAGAATTTTTTGGGTGGACCAAAAACATTTCAACATCCCCTTATTGGGACAAATTCTTGTATTTCCCATGTTCCACTTTACCAAAATCTATAAAGAGGATTTTCTTGCATGCAAGGAATACTTAATACTATATAGTTTTAAATGTTGACAATTTTTTAAAACTTTATTTTCATTGGCTATAAACAAACCAGAATTATTTATGAATATCAGGGAACTGCTTAAAACTTCACAAGAGAATATATTCTATTCTTTTTTCTAAGGTCAAATGTCTTCACCTTTACTGGTACCCTATACCCTAGTACTATTATGTTAAGTCATAACTTATTTCCATTTTTGGCAACTAATTATAATGATGAATTGTTCCTTAAATATACCATAACAGGTGATGAAAAATGCATTACATACAATAGTGTTTAATGCAAAAGGTAGTGGATTGACAAGGATAGATCTCTGCAACCAGCCCCAAAAGCTGAACTGTTTGGAAGAAAGATAATATTGTGTGTGTGGTGGAATAAATATTATTATGAAACACTAAATGCACATTTATAATTCCAGCAGCTGCAACATGTCCATAAAAATTTGGTTGTAAAGTGTCCTGTGCTCATCAATAGGATCATGATCTTCTCCATAACAAAAAGAATAACGCAGGAAAAAATCTTGAAATCTACTTACCAACGATATTCACCTGACCTTGCACCAACCAATTATTACCTTTTTTGATTGCAAAACACTTTGATGAAGAAAATTTTCTCTAATGAAAACCAGATTTAAGATTTTATTGAAAAACTTTTCACTTTAAAACCTGCAGGATTTTACTCAAAAGCTATCAAAGATCTATCTGATAAGTGGCAGCAAATCACTGCAAATAATGGTGAATATATAATTGAATAAAATATAATTGTACTTTATTTTTTGAAGAATAAAGTTGATAAACAAAATGGTAATTATTTATGACTCAACCTAATAATTCCAGTGACCTGTAGAAATAGTTGGCATCACCAAGCATGCCTTAACATTTCCATTAACCTGGGCATATAGCTGTGTGGTTAGAAGAACATTAGTATTCACACCAACAGACACTGGCTCAAATCTCACTAGGGCTGATTTATCAAGAAGGTAACATCTTGATAACATCAGCCAGGGGAGATGATGCACTAGTGGGGAAAAGCCTGAAAGCCATACCATGAGTTGACCCAAGCTTTGTGGGTGACAAAACTCTTCACAAGCCATCAATGGTTGTGACAGCACAAAGTTACAATTCATCATGACTGCGGGTTTGAGTGTACTAGCCTTGTTCAACTGCTGATCATGCCAGTTAATGTGCACTCTATGAGAAAATGTGATCTGCTCAGTATAGCTGCAGTATAAACCACAGGTTGGCTCTGTGGATATTGAAGAAAACACAAATGTGCCTGTGCAACAGGGATTAGGTAGCCACCTCTGCATACATGCATACTTAGAAATGACCAGCAAATCATATGAATCACTGAGAATGGTATTTGTTTTTAAACGGTGGAGATAATAGAAGATAATAAGTGCTTTTTTTACTATTGAGTTGAAAATAATGAAATTTGGAATGCAGTTGGAAGAGGAGAGGGAAAGTACTTTTATGAATTATAGCTTCAAATCAAACGATCGACTTTTTTTTTTCATATATCAAAACAAAACCTCTTGTTTGTTTTAATATTAATTCATATCTCTATAGAATCCCTAAATGCCATCTGTTGTTTTTAATCTCCTGTTAGAGTTAAAAGCCTTCCATAAATTAAGCAAAGTATTAAAAAATAAATACAAACAAAGAATAGAATTCTGAAAAGCTGTGTCATATAAATCCTTCTATATGGCAGTAAATACTGGACAATTTCCTCACAGATGAAGAGAAGACCTGAGACAGCAGAAATATGGTTTTACAAAAAGGATGCTGAGAATACCATGGATAGGGTGTGTAAGCAATGAGGAAGTTTTAAAGAAAATGGTAAAAAAAGGACTGTTATACTTAGAATTATAGAGTGACAGTCAAAATTTCTAGGGTTAATGAGGAAGGAGGTTCTGGAAAATTTGATGCTCATAGGACATATTGATGGTAAAAGAGACAGGGAGAGGTGGCAGACCAAATGTCTGATGAGCTTATGGGAATGGGAGTGAGAGGGATGGTAAAAAGATTACTAAAGGTTACAAAAGATAGGAAGTTGTGGAGAGCGATGATTGTCCACGTCCTGAGGGAATATGTAGAAGGTGAAGAAGAAGAAATTAGGATTTAAAGACTAGCTATTAGAGCAAGACCTGTGTATATACTTGTATATTTAAACTAAAAAGAAATATTTACTTTTATGTCATTATTTAAGAAGTCTTTATGAGTTCCAGATTCTAAACTCAAGATGAGAAAAGAAAGTTCTAAAGCAATCCTGTTGTTCACTTGGAATTCCTTCACCCAGCATCTCTTCCTAATTTCTCTTAAAAGGTAGAGTTTGAAGTTTGCAGTTAATACCAAAAGGCCACAGACATATTTCAGAAATGATCACCTAAACAAAATCTGCATATTTTGATTCTATGAGGGAATATGGCAAAATATTAATCCAAATAAATCCAAAATACATCCATCTCTTAACCTGAAGAGAAATAAGCTTATCATTACCCCCAACCACTGGTACACTGTCATGCCAACTCATCCCTCTCACTTAACTATTACCAATGTGCAGATTTATATTAATATATTTCTTTTACTGTTTCCTAAGCTTATTCTGTTCTGGCATTCTCACAGAATCAAGCTCCTCTGAGAAGATCTTTGGCCTTCACCCAACTCTAAAAGTCTGCCCTTCTGAGCAAGATATTCACTATAAACACTAATCATCTTATACTCCTGTGACTCAATCCATTCAAAACACACTAAGTTAAATGCAGGATGCCAACATTTGGATACTGGAATCATTTTTCCAAGACACTGGTAAAATTACATGCTTTCCAACATTTCAAACGAGACACAGCTAATATTACAAATATCTAATTCTACTTGGATATGTGGTGTGGTGTAATGGATAATGGGCTTGGCATGAGAAATTGGAGAGCTGAGTTTGAATTCCAGTCGGGTTCATTACATTCACTTATGTGCAAATACCCTCGGGAAATGTAGGAATCCATTTCTTCTCCTTGCAGTTATGAGTTGCATAGCAGAATGGACTGGGTCTTATAGCCTTGGTTGGCAACCAGTCTACCACAAAAAGGAATGGCAATCTACTATGGGAGAATCTTCTGCTGAGTCAGTCGGGAATCAAAAGGTACATGATTGCTTAAGCGTGTATCAAGTATGGCACTTGACTGATTGAATTCTACTCCGTTTTGGTCTGGATTAGATTATATCTCATTGCTGAAAATTAAAATCAGCATGTAGAGAGTCAATTTCCAGTCACAATAATGCCCCTCCTTTTTTTTATTAAATGTTTACCCAAATTGTGAAAGTTGATTTGAAGCATCCTGAATCCACAGTAAAAGAGAATTCATATAGTTTGCCAATAATGAGCAAAAAACAAAGAAAGACTTTTATACCCAGAAAAGAATACCAATGACTTAACATAAGAATTCTAGCTTAAAATGAACATACCTCCAAAATTAGAGCATTCCAAGTGACTGAGGCTGTTATAAAATTCATTGAACAACTGGTGAAGAAGTTTGAAGAAAGCCAATGCTTTTATTCAGAACTTTTAAAGAAAGAATAAGAATGATAACCTGATACCATTGCTGAAGATTTAAATTAAAAAAACATAAATTGATCCATACCAGATTCAAGTTTGGGAAGGAAATAATTAAGTAAATTCTGGTTACACATTGCTCAAACTAGGGATTTAACTCACGATTACTATATCACCAAATTTGCAAACCAAAATACACTAGGATATTGTCTCATGATGGGACAATATCCTAGTGGATTTTGGCTTGCAAAATACAGTAGGATAAAATCACTGGGCCAGACATTTTGTACTTTTACTTAGTGGACACAGGG